GAAAAAGGAAATAATCGTAAACGAATAGCTTCCGTGCTGACCCCATTAGCTTTTACGGTATCTGCATATTGTAGGAATACGGATAAATGCAGGTTCGGATCGTCAGTTGGATTTCCAGAAAACTGGTTTTGTTGAACTGCAGATAACAGCGAAGGTTTCAGCTCGAAGTTGTTTGCCTCGATTGCCAGAGCGGCAATACTGTTATGAGGTTCGTCTTGAGAAGGGATTGCGTAAGATTTTAGAGGTCGTGGCGCAGCCATCTCAGCTCGTCTAAGATCAGTTATATCAGGGATATTCGTCGGGGGTAAATTGTTTAGTAGACGATATTCCTGAATTCGGCGTCTCAATCGAAGATAACGCTCGATGTCGTTGATTTGTAGATGCAAAGGTTCGCCTTGAGAGCGAGTGTTTGGCATACAAATCAGAAAGAGATGAAAAGAAGAAGGCCTTAGTCTCTACGATGTAACTAAAAGAGTTACGATATCGACTTAAATAGTCCTCGGCAACGGCGCCAAAAACTTGATCGCGACTTTGTATGTCTATAAATCTGGAGACTGCAAGTGCACAGTCCTATCGCGTAGTCTTAAAAGATATCGAATCCACAGGGACTATGAATCGATCTACCGTAGTTTTGGTTACTGGGTAAAGCTAAGGCTAATATTAATTTAATTGACGAAAGGGATCTAATTACTAAATTTAGTTATAAAATTTTCAATTATAAATACCGGTATGTATTTCACCTAAATTTTAGGTTCCGAATTTCCACTGGCCTTTACTTAAATTGGTCAAAAATTATCTTTACGCAAACTTTATTTGTCTAAAAACCTTCCCCTCACACTTCCGTTCTATTAGTTCAGGTTATACGATTAATACCCTAACGTGTGCTTCCGTCACTCCGCCGGATTCAAAAGTAATTTTTGAAAACAGAATAAAATTTAATTGTTTTTAAAATGCTTCCGCCTCTTTAAAAACAATGCCTAATAATCACTATCTGGTTTTAGCCTCAAACTTCCGTTTTATTAGTAAAAACCTTAATCAATTTTAAAACCTCAAACTTCCGTTCTATTGATTTATAAAATCTTAAACAATTCAATTGAATATTAAAACCATGAAAGGTATTTCTTTTACAAAATAATATTAAGCCAATTTATCTCGGATCCCGTTATTTGGTTAATTTACATACCGATATTTAATCGGTTTAGCCGGACATGTTTATTAAATTAAATACGCATAGATAATTAAATTGCGAACAATTATATAAATTCATATCCATAATAACAAACATGTAATAATAATAAATAAATGAAAGCGATTAAATTAAAAACCTGGAAATGTAGAAAACTTCAATAACTTCAATTAAATGCGTTCTTCAAAAACCTTGGAGTATTCCACCACAAGCCGGTTGGATCTACTCGTCGAATCTTGAATTTAATAATAATAACAACAAAGAAATAAAATACTAAGATCTAACGTAAGGTTAGACCGGATAAAATTGCACAACAATTCCCGGTGTAGAAATTGTTGTACGAAAAATAAAGGCAGAAAACTGGAGAAGAAAAGAAAATAAAAACGATGCGATGAAAAGAAAAGGCAGAACAAAAATTAAAATGGAAGGAAATTTGCTCTGCTGAAAATAGTACGATCTTGCAAAAATTCTCCGACCCTTGGGATTTTTCTTTCACTTCTATTTATAATGCTTGTAAAATAATGTATCCCAAAAGGTCAATCCACGTAAAACTGAATATCCAAAAAATATTGCTAGTGGACTTTGTTGCATAACGTGCGCGGAAATATAGCAAAAGTAGGTTTCTTCATTGACTTGGGACCGGTCGTTCCGTGTGAGGAGGAAATGGCGTGAGAATAGGATAGGGCAGGGAACGGTCGTTCCACTCAGCTGAAGTGGTCCGGACCGGTCGTTCCCCTTAGTGGGCCGGTCGGTCCCTTCAAGCTGAAGTGGGGAACGTGCGTTCCCTTGGCCTTTGTACGTACATTCTTCTTTTGGGCCTTGCAATTTCATTCTTTTCACCCCCTTTTACTAATCTGCACCACATTGCTCAATTATCTTCATTTTTGTATTAAATTGCATCTATTTCTTCATTTTTCTTCACATAAGCTTATTTGAGGCAAAATACCTGAAACAAAGAAATACCAGCGTAATATGGAAATAAAATAAAATAAATTAAATAAAAACATGAATTATTTGCATTAATTAAGTCGATTTATACGATATAAAATCGTGTTATCACTTTCCTTTATCTTTATATCAATACCATTTACAAGTTTTTGCATCTAAAGTCTTTTTATTCGAAATCTTTTCACTGATGCCTTACATTTAAATGCTTTCTTTCCATTTCAAATACTTTACATTTCAGAAACTGCTATACATTTCATGCCTTTATCTTCAAGTTTTTATCCTTCGAACACCTTTTTCACTTAAAGCCATTTTACAGTTTTCTTGCATTAAACGCTTTCTTCATATTTCGAATCTTTTACATTAACTGTTTTTTTTTACGTTTCGAAGTCATTTACTTGTCTTTTATGCAGTTTTTACATGTCTTTACAATTGACCTTTATTCATGCAATTTAGTTCCGCGCACATTTATTTGATCATACCTTTAGATCTTTAAGGGAGAAATCGAAATAAGTTAAACACCTACACAACATTCTAAATACCAACCATGAATACCAGTTCGATCATGAGAGTTACCCTAATGACCAACACGTCCTAGGATCAATCTAGTCGATCCTGCGAGTTACCAGAGAAATTGAATAACAGTCAGTAAGTTTATTCGATAGTTTGGAGGACTAGCGGTTGTTTACCAGAAATCACTGTAAACAAATTGGCACACCTGGTGGGACCAATCGTTGGACATTACGAAATTTAGAACATAAATAAAGATTGTTGAGACGTAACCATTATAAAAAGACCCTCTGAGTGATAAGTTTGTTGTTTTATGAACCTAAGAAGTGGTAAAATAACCAACAGCAACCAACCCTTATCCAGAAGAAAACGTTTGAGCAAGATGTCTAGTTCTGACAATCAACAAGGGGAACAAAATGCCCCACATACAACAGGCACTAATGTGTCCGCTTCGATGGGAACGTCTAATGTGATCCCTTCGAATGCACAGTTTGTTGCATCTTCAACCAGTAATATAGCCACTAATGGAGTAAGTGGCATATCAACTAATAGTTCGATCTTAGGAAATACTGGAACCATTGGTTATCCCGGGGGATTTGTTCCACCATCAGGGACACAAACCCATTTCGCCACTCCACTAACTAGACCACCCGGTTTCGATGGTAATAGAACCAGAAGTTCCTCTTATGGAATGCCAACATCTTTTATGGCAGGTTTACACAATTCCGCATCGAATTCATCACCACTATTGGGGTCTGGGTCTGGGGCGAATCAGTTTATGACAAATAACCAAGGGTCAGTGGGTTATAGCACAATGCCTATTTTAACCACAGAAAACCAGTTGGCTTTTAGGCAATGGATGGATGACAGTAACCATAATATGATAGGGGTATTAGCACAAACTATGCAGGAAATATTTGCCCCAATAGTACAAAATGTGACTGTGACAAACAGAGAAAACGCAGATAACATGAGTCGAATAGCAGATTTCTTTGCTCCCCCATAGAGGCGTAGGCAGAATCAGGCGGGAGTTCGAGCAAACATGCCTGTTATGGAACAAGTTGCTAACGACCCAACTTATAGACCACCTAGAGAAGAAGTTAACTTGGGGGCAAGGGCACAAAGGCTAGAAGCCCCAATGATCCCAAGCCCACAAAGAGAAATTATGGAACTAGGGGCAAGGGTCGAAAGGCTGGAAGTCCCAGAGTTTCGAGAAGAACAACCTAGGGGGGTTGTCATGGTGGGTCGAAATCAAGATGCTGATGCAGTCGTTCATAGAATTCGAAACGATAACATCTTGGCAGAAAACAATTTAACCACCATGATAGAGAGAGTCATGGCCCAGAATGGCCTCAACACAGGAATTAGAAGGCCAAATTATGCTTCTCCTATATTAGATTACATAATGCGTACTGATTTACCAAGGGGATATAAAGTCCCTAAGTTCACAAAGTTCGCTGGGGATACCAATGAGTCAACAGTCGAACATATAGCCAGATATCTAACCGAAGCGGGAGATATAGCCAATAATGAAGACCTCAGGATCAAATATTTCCCAAGTTCCCTGACTAAAAACGCCTTCACATGGTTCACCACTTTGCCTCCTGGGTCCATTGATACTTGGGCTCTTTTGGAAAGATTATTCCATGAACAGTTTTACATGGGACAGTAAAAAATAAGCTTGAAGGAATTAGCCAGTGTCAAGAGAAAGTTCACTGAACCCATAGATGACTATCTGAATAGGTTTAGGCTTTTGAAATCCAGATGTTACACAGTGGTGCCTGAACATGAGTTAGTCGAAATGGCCGCTGGTGGCTTGGATTATTCTATTCGAAAGAAACTAGACACTCAATATTTGAGGGACATGGCTCAGTTAGCCGACAGGGTTCGACAGGTCGAAAGGCTAAATGCCGAAAAGGCCAGAGTCTTCAAAAATAACAAGAAGGAAAGGATCTCCTATGTTGGAACTGGGGAAGCAGAAGATTATCCTGAATTCGAATTCGAAGAGGTCGAAATCGACCTCGCTGAATTAAAACAGGCACCACCTTACTCCTGCAAATTATTAGTTCCCACAAAAGGAAAAGAGATTGTTTAAAATGAGAAAAGTGACAAATTCCCAAAGAAGGTTTATACCTTCGATGTCACTAAATGTGACGAGATTTTTGATTTACTTGTCAAAGATAGCCAACTCATTGTGCCATCAAATGTCAAAATACCTCCTTTAGATCAAAGAAAGAAGAGAGGATTTTGCAAATATCATAGTTTCCTAGGCCATAAAACCTCACAGTGTTTTCTTTTCAGGGACCTAATTCAGAATGCAATCAAAGATGGCAGATTGAAGTTTGCTGATAAAGCAAAAATGAAAGTGGACGAAGATCCCTTGGACGTGGCAGACACCAATTACTCCGAGCCTGCATGCATTGGAGAGATTAACATGGTGGAAGTTGACCATAGTGATGCCCCAATAGGAGAGAAAGGTACTGAAAACGAAAGTTGGGTGATAGTCGAAGTTGATAAGGAGGTCACTGAAGACGTCCAGAAGCAACCAGAGACTTTGTTTGAAGCAGCACCTTTGGCTGTGGCAAAAGAGATCCAGGCTACTGAAGGCCAGGAAAATCAAAACCAAGAATTGACACAGGTCACTGAAGGCATGAGGCTGGAATTGGAGAAAGTCCAAATCACGAAGCCAACTTCCCCTCAGAAAGAAATATGGGACACTTTAGGGGAACCCAGTGGAAAATTTGACTATTTGGTCAAATATTCTGCCCCAGAAAGTTCAAAAGTCCACATTGAAGATATAAAACCCACAGGATGGGGAGACGATGAAGCTAAGGGGGAGGATGTTGAGGTAAACATGGTGGATATGGAGAGACCTCGCTCTGAGATGGAGGAGGTAGAAAGATACTTAGAAAAAGAGAAGTATAAAATGGAGGATAATCATGCTGGAGATGCTAGTCTCAAGGATTACCTCATGACGTGCCACAAGGGAGATACAGGAATGATACTATGCCCTAGGTGCAACATCCTCTGCAATCAAAGAATCGCTGCGAACTTCGAGAGGGTACAGAGGGCTCGAACTGGCAACAATTGGCGCCAGGATAACCAGCTATTCAGGTGTTATCCTAAGGCTGGAGAAATTTTGCTGGAATTTGTGTTTCGCTGCTACAAAGGGGCAACCAAGTGCTTGATATGCCCAAGGTGTTCTGCTGTGTATGATCAAAGCATGGCCAGAGCCTTCGAAACAATTCCCTTCGCCCCTTGCTGGAACCATCAAGAAACTGTTCAGATGGGCCCACGTTTCGATAGCAAATACAAACAACGAAGGCCTGATAGTCCTCATCCCAAGGCTGCTCGAAGAGTGAAGTTCAAACTCCCTGTTGAAGTGCCAATCGATAGATGGCTGCAAGTCAGAAATGACAAAGGCAAAGACAGATGGAGAAACACTGAACGAAATGCACGTCATGCTATGACATACAAGAGGCAGTTCAACATAGCAAAAAGGGAAGAGGTAAGATTAGAGAACTACAAAGGAAGGAACCCTATGTCGAGATCCCAGTGGCGAAGGCAACAGAGGATTCGAAAGGCTGAGAGGGAAGCTGTGGCAAATAAAGGGGTAACTTCAACAAAGAACCAAGGTGAATCTAGCACCAACAAACCCACACCAAAAAATCAAACTGAAGACAAACCCCCAGTTAATAGGAGGCTTTTCTCTGAAGTACAACTAGATGAACCAAAGGAATACACTCCAGGCCCAGAAGAAGACGAAGATATGATAACGGATAACTTCGAATCAGAGGGGGAGTCTTCGTTCAACCTAAACTGCAACGTGGTATCTGTGCTTCCTGTGAATTTGGACAGGAAACTGAAATTGATGAATATGAGGAAGAAGATACCATAGACTTGATGAAGCATAGGCCTGTGTGCTACTATGTGATGGACAGTGGGGCTATCGAGGAGCAAAATGCATTCTTCGAACGACCAGAACCAGCTATGAAGAACCATCTTAAGCCACTATTTATTCGGGCAAAAGTTGGTGCCCATGGCGTGAATAAGGTTATAGTGGATGGGGGTGCTGCAGTCAATTTGATACCCCACTTCATGCTGAAAAGATTAGAAATACCCAAAGGAGACATCAAGCCCCACAATATGGTTCTATCCAATTATGAAGGGAAAGTGGGCAAAACACTGGGAGTGGTTCAGTTGGACTTGACAATAGGCTCAAGCTGTAGGCCCACCATGTTTATGGTGATCGAAGCCAAGGCCAACTACAACTTATTGCTGGGAAGGGAGTGGATCCATGGCGTAGGGGCAGTTCCTTCGTCAATGCATCAGCGATTAGTTCTATGGAGAGAAGATGGCATCATGGAAAACATTGAAGCAGACCAGAGTTACTTCATGTCAACAGTCAATTTAGTTGACAAGAGGAATTATGACAAACATCTGGAAAAGATTGCTCCGTGTGTTCCAAATGATGAGATCAACGAAACCAGAAACGCCCACTACTACATGACCCTTCGCCATGATGGCCTATACTGGGATAGAAGAATAATCAGCAAAGACGAGGGAGTCGAAAGTACTATACAAAGACGGCCAGCAGGCTGGGACTTCGACAACCTTATCCATGACTGAGTCCTCCTTTTTTGAAAGGATTTCGGCCTATATGGCTGAGAACGAATCAAAGGCGGCCTTAGAGGCTAAAATAAATAAATTAGCTGTAAAGATGAACGAAATAAGTGGGGATGGCTCGAAATGCTCACCCTTCAAAGAACTTGAGATGGATCAAAGGTTGGACGCCATCTACGATAAAGAACCCTTAGGCTTCGAAAGGGACCCCATAGACTCAGGTGCCAAAATGTTGGCGCAGGATCCACTCGAAGAAGTCAACTTAGGGGATGAAAACACGAAAAGAATAACCTACATAAGTGCAAAACTTAGCCCAGGCCTCAAGCAGGAAGTGATCGAGGTCCTCAAGAAAAATAAAGATTGCTTCACATGGGATTATGACGAAATGCCTGGTTTAAAGAGGGAGTTGGTCGAACACAGACTGCCAATCAAAGATGGCAAGAAGCCCATCAAACAAACTCCTAGAAGATTCGCACCAGCGGTTCTCACAAAGATTAAAGCTGAGATCGAAAGGTTGCTGCGTTGCAAATTCATCAGAACCACAAGGTACGTCGAATGGTTAGCAAATATAGTACCTGTTATTAAGAAAAATGGTTCTTTAAGAATTTGCATAGATTTTAGGGATTTAAACACTGCAACCCCTAAGGACGAGTATTCCATGCCTGTGGCAGAAATGCTAGTAGACTCTGCTGCAGGGTTCGAATACTTGAGTATGTTAGATGGATACTCTGGGTATAATCAGATTTTTATTGCTGAAGAAGATGTTGCCAAGACAGCATTTCGTTGCCCAGGAGCCTTAGGCACCTACGAATGGGTGGTGATGCCTTTTGGTTTAAAGAACGCTGGGGCAACTTATCAAAGGGAAATGAATTCGATTTTTCATGATTTCATTGAAACCTTTATGTAGGTGTATATTGATGATATAGTCATCAAATCTGTATCTGCAGAAACACATTTGCATCATCTGAGCCAATCATTCGAACGAATGAGAAAACATGGCTTAAAGATGAACCCCCTTAAATGTGCATTTTTTGTGCAGGCTGGAGATTTCCTTGGTTTTGTAGTTCACAAGAAAGGGATTGAGATCAACCAGAACAAAACCAAAGCCATAATGGAGACGAAAGCACCTACGTCAAAAAGGGAGTTGCAATCTCTGCTAGGGAAGATTAACTTCCTCAGAAGGTTCATTTCGAATCTGAGTGGAAGAACCCAAGCTTTCTCTCCGTTGCTTCGTCTAAAGCAAGGCCAAGCCTTCGAATGGAACGAAGCCCATCAGGAGGCATTTGACAAGATAAAAAGATACCTCTCTCAGCCTCCTATCTTGTCTCCACCTTCATGGGGGAAGCCCATGAGATTGTACATATCTGCCTCTGAAGTTAGTATAGGTAGTATGTTAGCACAAGAAGATAGCAATGGTATCGAAAGAGACATATACTATTTAAATAGAGTATTGAATGATGCAGAGACTAGATATAGTAATTTAGAAAAGCTATGTATCTGTTTGTATTTCTCTTGTATGAAACTCAAGTATTATATAAAGCCTGTTGATGTTTATGTTTCATCTCATTTCGATGTCATTAAACATATGCTTTCAAAACCAATAATGCATAGCAGAGTTGGCAAATGGGCTTTAGCCTTAACAGAATATTCTTTGACTTTCATGCCTTTAAAAGCCGTGAAAGGCCAAGTGATTTCTGATTTCATTGTGGACCATTCATTGGTTGAGCAGACTGTCATGAGTTACGTCGAAATGCAACCATGGAAATTATACTTTGATGGTTCAACCCACAGGAATGGAAGTGGTGTTGGAGTCCTTCTAATTTCTCCTGAAGGAATTCCAACAAAATTCAAGTATAAATTAGATGGTCCTCGTTGCTCGAATAACGAAGCTGAGTATGAAGCGCTCATTGTTGGACTTGAAGCTTTGTTGGAATTGGGGGCAACTAGAGTCGAAATTAAAGGAGATTCAGAATTAGTGGTCAAGCAAATAACAAAGGAGTATAAATGCATAAAGGAAAACTTGATGATATACTTCATCATAGTCAACAGGCTACTTAGGAAATTTGAATACATGGATATTCAACACATACCAAGAATAGAGAACCAAGAAGCAAATGACTTAGCACAGTTGGCTTCGGGTTATAAAGTTTCTGTCAGGAACTTTGAGGATTTAGTTGAATTAAGGGGTAGAGTTATGGCTACTAGATTCACACCATCAGATCTAGAAAGTATGAAATTGGGATATGCTGAGAAACAGGGATTCGAAATATTAACCATAAACACTTTATCAGATGCAGATTGGCGAAGTCCACTGGTGAGTTATTTAGCAAACCCAACTCTGAATGTTGATAGGAAGACAAAATACAGAGCATTATCATATCTCCTCATGGGGAACGAATTGTTCAAGAAGACCCAAGAGGGCGTATTATTGAAATGCCTAGGAGAAAGTGAGGCATACTTAGCATTGTCAGAAGTCCACAATGGGGCATGTGGGGCACATCAAGCAGGTCATAAAATGAAATGGTTGTTATTTCGATATGGCATGTATTGGCCTAGCATGCTCAAAGATTGTATAGACTTTTCTAAAGGATGTGAGGAATGTCAGAAACATGCAGGGATTCAACATGCCCCTGCAAGTGAGTTGCATTCAATCATCAAACCATGGCCATTTAGAGGATGGGCATTGGATTTAATAGGAGAAATAAATCCTGCTTCGTCTAAAGGACAGAAATATATCTTGGTAGGAATAGATTATTTTACCAAGTGGATCGAAGCTATACCATTAATAGTTGCTGATCAAGAGGCTATTATTGAGTTTATACAGAAACACATTATCTATAGGTTCGGATTTCCAGAGAGCATAACCACAGACCAAGGCTCTGTGTTTACGGGTAGAAAGATGCAAGAATTTGCCCAAGAAATGGGGTTTAGATTACTAACATCAACGCCATATTATGCTCAAGCAAATGGTCAAGTCGAAGCAGCCAATAAAGTGATAATAGGGTTAATCAAGAAACATATTGGTAAAAAGCCAAGGAACTGGCACAAAACTTTGGACCAAATACTATGGGCCTGTAGAACATCTCCTAAGGAAGCTACTAACACTACGCCTTTCCAACTCACATTTGGTCATGATGCAGTGCTGCCAGTAGAAATTCATCTACAATCAGTTCGAATTCAAAGACAAAACGAAATCCCAGCTGCATTATATTGGGAGATGATGATGAATGAATTAGTTGAGTTGGATGAAGTTAGATTACATGCATTGGAAATCTTGATGAGACAAAAAGAAATAGTGGCCAGGACATATAAAAAAAGGGTGAAGAGAAAAGCGTTCATTATTAATGACTTAGTCTGGAAAGTCATATTGCCCATGGACAAGAAAAATAAAACATTAGGTAAATGGTCACCTCATTGGGAAGGGCCTTTTCGAATACTAAAGGTATTCTCAAACAATGCATATGAAATCGAAGAACTGACGGATGATAAACGTATCCTAAAGGTTAATGGGAAATATTTAAAGAAATATAAGCCACGCCTACAGGAGATTCAAATAGTAACAACGTAACCAAAATATTATAAAAATGCCAAAATGGCAATATGGGATGCCAAAATGGCGTTGTTCGAATATTACATATAAAAAACCAAATTGTAATCAAATGAACACTGAAATTTAGAAATAAGAATTATTCTTCAATCTGTTGAAAGTACTTCGAAAAGATTCAAGTCTCTGTTGAGCAAAACGTCTGGCTCCCTCCAAGGTTTCCACTTCTCCCTTGAGTTGTTCTGCAGTTTCCATTTCTGCAAGCCCCTGGTTGAGAAGCTCTTCGAATTGGTTACCAGCAGTATTGGTTTCGTAGGCTATTTGTTGTTCTTTAGCCTCTTTAACCTTCTGTTGAAGTTCCTGAATTTGCCTTTCCCAGAGAAGGATGGACTCAGCTCGAGCCTCATAATCAGTTTTTGCTTGCTTTAGATGCATAGCTTGATCCTCAGCTTCTTGAGAGAGTTTCGAAGCTTGTTCATAAGCAGCATCCATTGCAGTGCGTTTTTCTTGAACCTTTCTGGCAGTAGATTCATCTTGGAGAAGGTACCCAGTCACGTTGTCCAACAAAGATTGAAGATCGAACAAGATAGTACTAACTGGCAAGGAGTAGGTAGCAAGGTTGACTTTTGTAAGCAACTCCTTCATAGTGTAACAAGCAGTGCTATCCTGTTTGAGCACTTCGAATATATCCACATTAAGAATTGTTCTCCTGATCCTGTTAAGAAGTACAA